TTTCCATAGCTATGTTTGTTTACCAGAGGGTACCTATTAAGATTGTGATGTTCCATAGCAATGATATGCATACCATGTTAGTTCACCAGAGGCTATCAGGTTGCAAGTCCCAGCACATGTCGGAGGCACAATGCCATAGGGACAAACGCTGGTCCTTAGCCACAGCGAAGCCGGTCTTTCCGATGAGTTCCCCTCCGGTAATGACCAACCACTAGGGGTTTTGAACACTGCCTCAGGTGACTTGCAAGAGATAGCACATGTTATTGGATAAACTCAACCCTGGATTAATAAACCCCGCCCAAACGGCTGTTTAATAAAGGGAAGGTACCATAAAAAAGTATCAAATCATGGCTATTGAGGGAATACCCCCCTAATTGATAAACCATGGTTTATTATTCCGGGGTTGACATGATCACATCCCCATCTTTGCAGCCCCAAACAGGAGACCATGGAGACCTGGCAAATCTTCATGGAGACATGATTGGACTTGGGAATTTCCTGCAATCAAACTTGGCTCTGGGAAAAGTATCAAACATTTCACAAAACAGATTCTTCATAGATTTGGAACCAGTAAGGAGAACGGAGAACCGTTCTGTGACAATTGTAGAGAGATGCTGTCAACGTAGCATGAACTTGTGGAAACATCACCACCTCTTCTGGCAACTCTACCACTAAATATAAGTTGCTGGTTTCAAACCATCCCCCTGATCTCCCATGCTCATGGTCATTCATGACATCCATGACATCGCCCAGCAACTTCTGCTGCCATAAGTGATCACATCCGACCATGGGACCTGCCAACAAAAAACGCATCACAACCCGACATCCTGTGAAAAATGTGACTTAAGTGGGGTGTAACTTTAGATAGAAAACCAAACATCGTTAATCTCAATAATGTAGTTATGTAAGTTCATAAAGAGTTAATATGGATAAAGAATAGTTTTTTTTAATCTTAGATACAATAATACAATATTAAATAGATACAGTGAAATACACTTAGATACACTGCAAGAGATCACACTTGTTGTAGCTTGATTAGCTTCTTTTTGGATCTATCAATCTACCCTTCATATGTTTCTGGCTGGTGGTTGAGCCCTACCCCTCTGAAAAATGATGGAGTGAAAGTCAGCTGGGATGATTATTCCATTCCCAATATGATGGGAAAGTCATAATCCATTCATGTTCCAGTCACCACCAACCAGCCATTCATGAAATTCATATTCCATTACCAGAGGGTTAATCACCATGAAATCACCAAACCACCAACCAGGTTTTTCTCTCAATCCCAGCTGCCAACTTCATGAAATGTCAGCAGGAACCATCCATTTAGGGGTGACCCAAGATCCGCCCAGACAACCGCTTTATTCTGGCTGCCGTTGGTGTCGTTGGATAAAATATACATTGGCCAAGACAACGGCCGACAAGACTACCATAGAGAAACATAAACCTGGAAGTGGAAATCCCTTTTCAACGTCCTCAGTTGTCTTGCGTTCACTGATATTCGAGCACTGCAAGCCTGCAAGCACGTCGTCTTTCTCGCAACTGGAGTTCATCATAGTTATACCCATTATCAACCATTAATAAACCACTGGTAAACATACATAAAACCATGGAAAATCACCATTTTTTATAGGTAAATCAACTAATCTTGGGGATAGACTCAGTTTTACATACCCTCTGGTAAACTAACATAACTATGAAAAATCACCATTTTCAATGGGTAAATCAACTAATCTTGGGGATGTTTCATCCATGTCAATCCCATTCCACCAGGGACCTGGGGCCCGGCGCCGGAAGCGCCAGCGCCAGCTTGCGTCACGGACGTACGCGACGCGACGGCCAAGGTTCATCTGCTGGCTGCGGGGATCCGGTCCAGGAGGCTTTAATGAGGTTCTAACCCATCATATTACCCATTAATAGCATGGTGATTTTAACCATAGTTATGTTAGTACGTTTACCAGAGGGTATAGGTTCTATTATATCATGATTATATAAATAGCTTATGGAATATTTTTATGAACCTATATAACCATATAAACCTATATAACCCATCATATTACCCTCTGGTAAACGTACTAACATAACGAACTGGAAAGATCCCACCCATTTTTCATGGGAAAATAACCACTATTTCGACTGGGCCATTTGCAATAGCTATGTTAGTTTACCAGAGGGTATATCATGTTCATTCATATTCCATAATTTATATATATTTATATCCATAAAAATATTCCATGATTTATATGTATGTTCATTACTCACGATAGCTTGTATAGTTTCAAACCATGTTATTGACTAATTTCTAGCACCCAGAATTTAGAGATGTCTTGCACACTTTCGGAGAGAACTTTCAACATTTTGCCAGGACCGTCCCAATTTCGGGTATTTTGAACCTTTTCGGATGGTAATTCGATGGCACTTCACCTAAACTGATCAACAAAGGTGTGAAGTACTGAAGGACAACCACAAGGAGGGTAGGAGAGTATAAGTGCAAGAAACCTTCCGTTCCCAGCGACATTTGGGAGAACTAGTGGGAAGCCCAGTACTTTTGGGGTACCAACTGTTTAAAGCAACATCCATTCAGGCGTCAAAAGTGAGCAACCTGTTATATCCTCTTGTTATGCGGGCAAGCCACTCTGAATCCAACTTGATCCAAATTAAGCATCTAGAATTCCATGTCGGGTTGACACGAAAGCGGTGATGATTTCAATCATTTGCTCATGCTTCACCCAAATTTACTGAATTCTTGGATCCCACAGATCGCATCTGGTGTCGCTACAAAAGCAACTAACAGTTTGCTATTGAAAATGATGGTTTATAGCTGATTTACCTATTAAAAAATGGTAATTTTCCACAGTTATGTCAGTTTACCAGAGGGTACTCTTTGGAATTGAGTTGGAATTATTACCAGTTCATAGATTATACTCCAGTTGCACTGAAATCCAGTTTTCGTGACGCTCACTCGAAAGCACTAGTTATACTCGGACTTCATCACTACACTCGGGAAAAACATCTCCCAGGTACAAGGCTGTCATCATCTCCTTAAGGCAATTCCCAACTTTCTCTCCCCCATGGGGCCCTTAAAGAAACCCGGCTGCATCTTCTAAGGCCATAAGTGACTTCCACCAAATTTTCATTGGCTTTGGAAGGCACAGACCGGGATCATCGTCGAAGAATATGGTAGAGCGGAAAAAAAAAAGTGGTCATTTAACTGGTCACAATATAGCAATTGGCAATTTTTATCTAATGGTACAACCATTTGCTTGGATACATTATATACTACATAAGTAACTATATAATGATACTACTCTTGTGTCTATCACATGAAATATCCCTATCACTGCGTTTCGATATCGCTTTCCACAGGATTCTGGGTCCGGTCCCTTTCTTTTTATTGCTCGTGAACGGTCGCTTGCTCGCAGCGTTGAAGTAGCCGCGGCCGCCGTTTGTCATTGGAACTGGCTCCGCAAGATTTACAAAAGTCATCAGGGTGGGCCACGACCATGCAAACTCCAGAACTGCTTATCTCAAACCAGGTAGAATATGACATTCTCAAAGGTGGGAAGCTGAACAAGTTAAATTCATCTTCAATTTGATTGTGATTTGGGATGATCATCGGACATTTGAATTATAAGTTCTCAGGCGCGTGCTAGCATCTGCCCAAGTGTCACCTGCTACTCAAAGCATAAAAACTGGCTTTGCTGATATTACGATAAGTAACTACACTTTACTAAGCTCTTTGTGAATCAACCCCTGTGTCAGGTTTTGCTGGGGACATCACATCTTCAAGGAAACTATGAAATATCTTCTGTAAGTCTTTGCAAGGACAATGTGATAAAGGAGTTGGCCTTCGAGGAATTGTTGCCACTAGCCACTAGACAGTTGAATTTCTCAACGATTATATGGTTTGTGAGTGTTTTCTGCACGACTCCATTTGAACATGGTTAAAATGGATCCGCTGACCAGGTGGGTTTGTCCAAAACCTATTGGAAAAGCCCATGGAGTTTTCCCACTGGTGGAAGCTGGGTGGCAGTTGGGGAAGCTGACCAAGAACTGAAGCTGACTTGGACCCAAAATTATGCTCCAAGCTTGAACTCCAAGTTGAACATCGAGGGGAATTCAAATCTCAAGCAACAATGATTATGTTTGGAGGTGGCCAGTCCCTGTCCTCTAAAGCATTTCTGCACCCCGGTGACCGCGGTGACTGCGGTGACCGCGCGGATTCAGACTGCCATTTAAATTTCAATGCATTGCCTGCACCGGCGTTCACGGTCCACATCCACCCTGCAAGCAGAATTGGAATGATGGCAGTTGAGTACTGTCAATATGATCACTTGGTATTGATTTGTAGTACATCAGCACACATTAGCATACATTAGCTACTTTTTGGGTAAATGTGCGGCTACATTGACATCACATGATGTAGGATCGGGTGGGTACTTTAAAGAAACAGTAGTACCGACACTACTCGTCGCATTGCAAAAATGGGGCGAGGAGCTTTCCCCTATACCGATGTCCCCAGCAACACGAACTTTGAAACACCTTTTAAAAACCACGGGTTTTCACGAAACATAAAGTGCCACCCTCTATGCAATGGGTTGGTTTAAGGGAAAATTTACAGGAAACCATGGTTTTTACCATTAAAGATGGGGTTTTCCTGTAAATTTTCCCCTAAACCAATCCATTGATCTATCCAAAACATCAGAGGAGTGAAGCAAGACTACTATTGAAACCAAAGTTCCACCGTGCCGCTGACTTGACCCAAGCCAGTCCACCTGAATTTTGAATCATCTGAAAAGCAGACTGGTAGCTTCAAACTGAGGTGGTTTGTTGAATCTGCTCCAATGGATCTGGGTCTGTTCAAAAAAGGGGGATAACCCAAAGTTGCATTTTTTACCGGAAAAGAAGCTGTTTCGTAATTTATTTTTACTAACCCAACGAAAAAAAAAACACATCCAATACGCTCTCTCCAACTTGGGTGCACAAAAAAATCATCAGCCTCACAGCGCAGCATTGACCTTCGCCTGGTCGACCAAGAAACAGGGAGATTGCTGGCGCTGACTCACGAATTCAGCCAACCTAATCATATCATGCGTGTATTCATGGGCTTAACATTTATGAACCACCAACAATCACGTTTGAAGTCAGGCAAATATGAACCATGGGTCATTGCAATCTGCAAAAGTCTTCCCATTTTTGGCTTCCGAAGATCAAATCTTCATGGGAATCTGTCGAAGGTGGATTTCCCATTGGGAAAATACGCCAAATCATGGACTCAGCAAACCCAGGTGATTGTAGCCTGAATCAATTCAAGCGGGTTTCACCTCATCAACCGCCAGGTTTCCACTTTTTTTTTCAGTCAGCCCCAGTCAGCTGGGACTTCCTGTGACCCTGTGAACTGGGACCCCGGGGCCCCGGACCGCCACAAAGTTGTACGCCTGCGCAGTGGAAAACTCACTGCGAAACCACTCGGTTTAATGAAGCAACTCATCTTGTGTCTGAGAATGGGGTATACCCCCAAATGGCCATCAAGCATCATTTGTTGGGAGGTCCACCGTGCGTGAAAATGAGGTAATACCCTTTGCCCCAAATGGATCCAAATTGATCCAAATGGCACTTTTGATGGGGAACCTGATGATTCAAAGAGGTAATTACCATATTTTCAGTCAATTTGGGTCATCTACAAAAATGCAAAATTGTCCATTGCCATAGTTGATCGCCAGATACCGAGCATCATCTCACCCAGGACACACGATCCGCGCGTCCCGAGGGAGTTGGAGACATATCTCACCCATAGATTGTTCCCTGGCTGAAGGTTTTACGAGCACAGTGGCATGTTCTGGTGTTAAGTGATTCAAGCCCGCAAAGTGAGATAAGTGAGTTAAGTGAATGATCAACCAACTTAAGTACGCTGAACGCATTCATGAACCCACTTTGGACCATGTTAATCTATATGATGCTGAGCCCTGACTACTTACAGCCTAAGTGCCTAAGTCCATGAGGGAGTACGGATCAAACATAATTTGTCACCAGCATGAGCGTAACAAACAACATCTCAGGAATTTGCTCAATGCACTCGATTTGAAAAAAATGAAGAGGATCCCCCATTTTCAAGAAGGAATTCATCTACATGCATTCATAAATGGTGGTGGTAAACAATTCCATTTCCATCCATTTCCATGTTTGCCGCAGGCTAAGTAAAACTTGGTGATTTGTTGTTCCCCTGCCACAAGTTTAACTTTTAGTGGCTCCTATAAAAATAAATCCATCTAACCCCAAGACACACTGAAAATCCAGTTCTATGACCATAATCCATCAAAAATATGAATGTCAAAAACAATTGTTCTTTGGAAGATTATTCTCAGTGTGCCATGGCAGCGTTCCAGGCCCTTCCAGCCACCTTCAGAGCATACCTTAGGTGAAAAGGCACCCGGTTCACCAACAAGAAACGAATCACGAAGTAAATGTGGGGTAACCATGGTTACCCTCTGGTAAATGAACATCGCTATGGAAAATCTCCATTTTTAATAGCTAAATCAACTATTTCTATGGTCGTTTCCCATAGCTAACCGTGAAATGACCAGAGGGTAAGCTGCCATTTCTGTTGGTGAAACCACCAGTGTGAACAGGCTGCACAGCTTCGGCCGCCTCTGGATTGCATGGAATACATCGCACCTATAGAACTGGATGATTAACAACTCATATAGCACCCAGTGAGGACCCAGTGTTCACAATCTTTGTCAGCAAATCAGTCATAACGGTGTAATATCTGATGGATGACACGTTGCAACAGGTTGAAATCTGACTCACTCTGTGAATACTGCCGGCGATCGCCGTCTTTAGTAAAGCTCGACATATGTCCATCCGTGCCAATGCAGGATTCCTATTTCCAGCCATGACCCTTAAAAAGTGATGTCTACGTGTGCAGGACTGGGGACATCTAAGCACTCCTGAAATATGTTTTTGTCCAGTTGTTCTTGATCTCATTATTTATAATCCTTTCTTCTCAGCCCCAATGTTGAATGAAAGCACTGAAATCCGAATGACTCTTGACCGATGCACCATGATGCGCTAATCAGTCTACACCGATTGGTAGTTTTACTCAGCGAAAATGTTGGACAATTAGGACATCTTAGCAACTGGATGTAAAATCATAGCAATATTCCTGGTTACTGTAATCAGCATGTATCCTGATCAAAATGGCCGTAACATGCGGAGCTGCGAATCTGTTTTTTTATGGGGGGCCAAAACCCAAATGTTGCCTTTCCATTCATTTCATATGTATTTTATTGATGACCGTAAATGCCCCATAAAAAGGTTGGATAGCGCCCCCATTTCGCCGCTTCTAAACCCATATTACATTGTTGTTGGTAATTATGTCTGTATGCCCCATTAGGCTCTCTCTGACAGTCTGAAGAAATCGGGGATGTAACGGGGACGTATTCTTATAAATTACAACTCTTTACAAGGGCCTTTAGATCGATCACCATATGTTGTCATTACGATATTCCGATGATATTGCCAAAATTATGCATATCATCGTCATTTTTGATGTTTTGTTCAATCCCTACAAATCATATCATCTTCATTGTTCACGCTTTTTCAAGCAGGAAAACCTCGGTGCCCTTGGTGTCCCCCATGAAACCACCCAGGTTTCACCGCCGGCAAGGTGCTCTCCGGCTTTCACCCCGGCGAGGCCCACATCGTCAATGCTGCTGCTATACCTGGCGAGGAATTCTGCGGTGCCCCGGTCATGGCCAAGTTGGTGAACCGTTGAACTCCAACAAACTTACTGGTGCTAAACGTAGGGAATTTTAGGGAATGATCCATTTCATCACTAGTAATTTCATCATCCCAGCAACCCCCAGCAACCCATCCATTCCCTACGTTTAGCACCAGTAAGCAAATGTTGGCTTTATGGTAGATATATCGAACTAGTTACTATATACTATGGTAAATTAAACAAACATAAGTGGCGGGGGGCACCACCCTGTAAGTGAAAAAAAACATGTATCACTGGGCGCTATATCAGCTAGAACTTTCGTTAAACGAAGATATTACTAGTATTTTTTTGCGGCCGCGAAGTGGGATGTGCAACCAGTACCAAGGGTTTTTTCATCATCCAAACACTGCGGGAGACCGAAAAGGGCTGAGAATTCTTAGCAGAGTTCAGCAATCCGGAAAAAAATACTAAACAAATCTACCCTCTGGTAAACTAACGTAACTATGGAAAATCACCATCTTTAATGGGTAAATCCACTATAAATGGCCATTTTCAATAGCTATGTTAGTTTACCAGAGGGTAAATGAGGTCACATTTCGATGATTACCCTAACTAATCCTAACATATCCTAACCATTATTTCCAATGATGTCGGCCAGCGGCGTCATTGTAATTTACCCGTCCATCCTGGTCCTATGTAGCAACTCTATATCCAATAAAGTGAATGAGAACATAGAACACCTGGAAATTGTGAGGCACACATCTTCTATCACATGCTTGTTTGAAGGGTTCCCACAAACTTCTACCCTGCAGTTGAGAACCACTTTCTCCTCCAGTGGCTGACTGATTGTCTTTTAACAAAAGTCAAATTTTACGTTCACCTCCATCCGCAGAATGATTTCAGTATGAGAACCCCCGAATTCATAGATGGAGCCATGTAAGTAATTAGATTTAGTTAGTGCGAATCTCGTACATTGCTTTTGACGCTCATCACAAGGGCAAACATATTTGTTTTAAGCAGTTTTCAACTGTTTCTAAACTGTTCCTTGTCTTCTCCTTAGTCCTGGTTGGGGTTCATGTTCAGCTTACCCGAGCTTCAAACGGCAGAACCAATGGAGCGCACTCCTTCAAGGTTTCGTTCCTTTGCGCGGTCCACGGGACAAACTCATTGCGGCGGTGTTTCAGCTGTGGGTCAGAAATGGGGGATTTATCTAAGTTTGATGTTGTATGGTCTACTGATGTTTGTATATTCACCAAAGTTTAATCACACATAATCAAACCCAGGAGGAAAGCAGAAACCTCGGAACATCACCAACAATATGTCGATGTGTGCAAATCAACACATGGGGTATGGGTATTGGGTGACCAAAAAAAAGCACTTTAGATTGCCGAATCACTTGCCCATACCAACCGAAGACTTTACAATTCACCTGATGGCGACAGAGGTGAATAGAAGCAAATGTTGTTCGTAAACAAAACACGTTCCAGCTTGGCACATAATTTTCCATAACAGTTTCAACAAAACAGCATGTGCTGCGTATGCTGTCTGGATGTCTTGCATATATTCTTGTGCGCAATCAGAATCAGTTTGACAGCATCAGATCATCAGTCTGGGTGTCATTCTCCACTGTTACCCTCTGGTAAACTAACATAGCTATTGAAAATGGTCATAGAAATAGTGGATTTTCCCATTAAAAATGGTGATTTTCCATACAGTAGTTATGTGTATGTTTACCAGAGGGTAACTTTCCAAAACATACAAGCCGAGGAAGCTTTTCAAAGGTATCATGGATGGATTTGAAAGCAGCATCTGGCTGTGGATTGAATGGATTGAGTCATCGGCTAGCCCAAAAGCCGAAAGATGACAAAACCCCTAATGAACAGTGTTCAAAAATACCACTATCCCATCCTATCATATCCTATCCCTTTGCATGCTACCGGTTAAATTATAGCTTACATATCATATCTCCATTCCATCATCCCCCCCAAAAAAGGAATATCTCGCCCATCAGGCGACTCAGCCAACCAAAGATTGTTGGTTCTATATCCCATGTTATCCCATTCCCAAATGTCTTGTGTACTGGTGATTATGTGGGGCATATATATATATGCATGTATAATATGTATACATGTATATGTATATATATATACACAATGCGCGTTATGTAAATATATATATATATATATGTATACGTTGTTTTCATATATTCTCATCATCTTACATGTTGCATATCACATTGTATCCCAAATATATCATCATCTTTCTGGTTGGCTCCCTATGTTCCAGGGCTAATCCGGATTTCTTGGTTGAGGAACTTCTTGGCAAAGTTGACGATGCTACCATAGGACAAGCCATAGCCTCGAGTGCATGGTGAGCTGAATCTGACAGGAGGCTACCTGGAGATAACTGGTGAGATGCTGCGCTTAACCTGACTTAGCGTTAAACATCACTAGAACATCACTAGATACATCGTGTTTTTACATCATTCAGAAGCCATCAGAAATCGATGGCTTACCTGGTGAAAAAATCGCCTTTTTTTGGCAGCACCAAGTGGCCCAGGGCTGCCAGCAAGATACCAAGATTGAAGCCTGGCCGAGCAGGACCTTTGGGGATCACCAAGAGAAAGTTCTAGATCAAGTATAGGCAATATGTTATAACCATGGCTACCATATACCCTCTGGTAATGACTAACATAGCCATGGAAAATGGCCCATTTATAGATGGTTTACCCATTGAAAATGGTGATTTTCAATAGCTATGTTAAATTACCAGAGGGTATATATATATAATAATAAATAATCATGAAGTTCCCTTTCTATATATCTATATATATATATATATGAGTAAATTGTAATATATCACTAACCTGAATCTTGCGACCATTTGGGGATGATTTCCCTTATAAACCATGATTCCAGGGTTTGGGAGAACAGTGAGGTCGCAGTGAGATCGCTATAATTTACCCAGAAGTATGTATATTAATTAATCCCTTCTCCCTAATATTAAACACCCACCCAGACAACATAGTTTAGCAAGGGAATTCCACAGAATTGGGACCATTTAGAGCGTGTTTAATATTAGGGGGATGGGATAATATATATATATACATTCTTTTCTATATTTGTATATGATATTCAATATACTATAATGATCTATATATAATTAAAAATATCTTTGGGTGTTACATGGGGTTGCTATCAAGGGGTGTAAATTGGAACATCGTCTATGTCAGAACGTCGGCATTGACAGTGCCGCAGCCTGTTGGTTGTTCGCATCTATATCAATAAGTTTATCCTCTGAATCTCCGTTGTTCCTTCATGTTGCATAAAACTGAATAACTCCTTTCAGTGTACATACTGTGGATGGAAGAAATCCTGCACCACCTTGGATGGTTGAAACCCTATAAATAATGGGATACACCACCTATCAACTGGTGCAGGATTTCTTCCATCTATACAGTACGTCGTACGTTTTATCCATCGCGCATTCTCGTGTTTGAATGCTCACTTCTGACTTACATATGTTTTGTCAAATTCATGGACTAACATGGAACCCCAAGCCATTCCATTTCCAACAATAACATCATCCTTCGGATCCATTTCTGCAGGGTTACATTGGTTACATTCTCATGGACATAACATGCAGTTGCACCACGCAGGAACCTCCCAACAGTGGGAAGAGCAGGCCGACAACGAAGTAGACGACCACAGATGCACTCCTGCCGGCAATCGTATCTAGCGATGGAACAGTTCGGATGATTTATAATGAAATTCATTATTTAACACATATATCAAAATAGGAGGAAACATATAATCATATATAATATGAAAACAATTTGAAACCACATGAACAAATATGAAAACATCGGTCCGAGTTTCCATTGTCGCATCGCACTACTCATAGCCTCCCAGAGTGAACATCTCAAGACAGGTAAAAGCCACAGAGGAACGCCACTCTGAGAGCTGATTCATCACTGAAGGCTTGCTTGTTTAGTGTTTCATCTAATTAGGATGATTGATTATCAACCGAGAAATTGTGATGTCATTGATGTCATTGATGTTTCTTAATCCCTGACATCAATGCCAAATAATACATATGTTACATATCTCTCCATCCTCGGCCACAGTTAAAAGTCCCCGAGTCTTGGAGTTCTCTTCGGATTCGTCGAAGGTGGTCAAGGAGAAGCTGCTGGACGTGGAAGGAGTCCCTGCCGAAAGTTTCGATATCAGATCAGATGACTGGATTTTCTATTTGATTGTGATGGATTATCAGATTATCAGATTATTATAGATAATTCGGATATGGAATTACCAGAAACTCTTAATATTGTTAATGGAATTTAATGGATTAATGTATTTAGAGGCACCATCAGATTATCAGATTATCATAGTAGTTTTGTGATGAATGGTCTGTATCCATCCCCCCAGATGATCCCGGAAGTAGGCTTCCGGTTCCCCCAGGTCTCCCAACCATCCCAGCGAAAAAAATCAGGACATCCCGCTCCCAAATTGTACCAACAAAAGCATCGCCAAACAAACTGATACCCCGCAAACATCATCATATCTATGATAGATTTTGAGCTGGTTAGAAGATGTTCCCATGGAAAAAAAACATGAACAAACCATGGCCCCCCCTTGCCTGAGGGTTTAGGCTCCGCCAGCTGAGGCATTCGGCTGCTGCGGGTGACTACCTGGCCGGGAAGAGGTTTTTCTGATGGTTTCTGAAATAGGCAAACGGAGTCCAAAAAGTGGGGATACACTTCCAAAAATTGCATGATTATGAATGATTGTGATCCATGCAATTAGGGGCAAGATAGCGTACCACGATGTACCCCGAAATCCATTGTTTTTGGGTTTTTTTTTGTATCCCCTAGTTCGTTCCAAGCACTGAAGATGTTCAATGTGATGGGTCAAGCCCTGCATCGGTCAGCAAAAAAGGGTCGAGATTAGATCAAATTCTCTTTGGGAATGTGCACGTCATAAGGCTTTGTTCCCACTCATCACGCCCTTCAAAGAACAGCTGTGTGGAATCAATGAAATGCCTGAGATCGGTGTACACAAATGCAGGCACGGGTGAGGAATTTGCAGACTCTAACCAACAACGCTGTTTCACCCCATGTCCAGTACCCTTGGTTTGAAAGATACCCAACCACATGATACTTCTCGTGGGTTTCAAAGGCCACATTGTGAGGTGGAAACCTCACAATGTGATTTTAGAGTTTCAGTCGTGCACCTGTTAGATTTAACCTACACCTTGCAGTGCCGACTCTTTTTCGAAGCGCCCTGAGGAAAGCCGCACCGGCGCCAATCTGGGCTGACCTGTGGTCCGAGGCCAGGGTATCCGTGAGCACTTCAACTGAGGATTCGTTCAGCTTGTCTGAACTACTTGAAACTGGCAAGAAAGGACACTGAACAATATGGAAATACTGTATATTACATATATATATATATAATATATATATATATTAAATATCCTATATTTCCATATCCTATATTTCCGTATCCTATATTATATATATTTGAAAGTCTGGAAACACACACTGCTGCCTGCTGTCTGACCCTCCAAGATTGGCCATGCAGTGCTTCAAAGGCTTCGCAAGGATTCGCTTTGACGCTGCAAAGAATAAAGATCCTTTGCCGCATCGCACAACCAGAGTCTGTGCCCATTAGATCCACCAACTTACATAATTAAAACAGATATGATTGGAAATTGAGCCACCCATCCCCAAGATCATCAAATATATGTCATATGTAAATGTATATATATAATATAATATATGTATATATATATAGGATATGGAAATATATATATATATATTATACTATATAGTGTGTGTCCAAAAAAACAAAAAAATGAGTATGCCCAACAAAATCTTTAGTATGGTAATTGATGATAAACCACTGGATCCAGGGGTACAACACCTGATTTTCAAACAAATTTACAGTAGGCAATGAGTATAAAACCATGATACCCTCGTGAGCCCCTGAATCGCTGGGGAAACATTTGTTCATCTCCCCAAATCATCGGTTTGGATCTATGGCCATACCGTGGAAAAATCAAGCTGACTTGAAGCCACCAATACCCAGGGGCCGCTGCGCGATCCGCCAAAAGTTGCACGGACCACAGGATGGATAGCAACCTGGGTGAGGCGACCTACGTCCATGGATCCCAAGGATTATGGTTCACCAATTTTAGCTGGTCAGGCTGATCAGGTTAATATCTCCCCTAGTCACATGAGCAGTGTTCAAAAGCCTCATCCACAACCCCCTATCTGGTTGGTGGTTCCATGTCAAAGATTTGTCAACGAGGATTATGATCCCAATTGGGATGGCATAGTAATATAGCATATGCTACAAGTATCCCATATCATATAATATCCCATATGCTATATTATCCCAAATATCATATTAGGATACAAGTAATTAATTGCTATATTATCCCATATCATATTGATATAGCATATTGGGATAATATAGCAATTAATCCATCAACCAGCGTATCCCATCACCAGAACTCAACCGGTCAGTGCAGCCGAAGTGCGTGAAGCTGGCGCCGTAGAAACGAAACGCAAAGCTGGTGACGGTTGGGAGTTCCTGCTGCAACTCCTGCAACAGGGGAATGGCATTTCCAACTGAATACAAGGGATGTGTGTTTTCTATATGTAATAAACAAATGCCCGGAGTTGAATCAAGAGAAGTGGGAGCTAAAGTTATGTAGCCACTGACTATATATATATATTTACAGTAATAAACAAGTTTGAACCAAACAACTTCACAGATATGCATTTAAATATTGCACCTGACACCTGAAAACAAAATGGGGTGGATGGGATAACAGGTTTCTTGTCGAAAAGAAGATAGAGAACACATGATAATCATGATGGGGAACAACCAGCAAAATATCAATCGCCGCAACCACCAAACAAGTTCCATTTTTTTCTTCTGATAAGGGAGTGTTTTTGGGAAGGTTATTGCAAACACAAAATGAACTTGAGGGCCGACTTTTGTTCCTTTTTGCAAAACCGGTTTTTACACCCGAAAAGTAATGATCGCGTGTCAGCCGTTTTTGGGCTCTGACCATGGCTTTCATCTCGGTAAAACATCCAAGTCCAACCCACATTTAAAAAATCTGGTATGGTATATGTTGATATATGTTGGGTTGACGCTTAAATGGGATCACATTTTGGCGTAGACCCACAAAAACTTGTCAAAAAACGAAAACTTGTGTCAAAAAAAAAAGGTTATATAAACAGTTTAAACTTGACGGTGTTGCGCACTTGAAATCAACATGCGCACTTCAATTCACAACGCCGGAATATATTCATGGCTCAATTCAGGCCTCAGGTTTTCCATCCTGTTGTAATCCAGATGGGTTTATTGTGTTTACTGTCATCATGCAACAACACACATATCTCCAGTGGGTGGGTGAATGGGGTTGCGTTGGGGTCGTCTGGGGGTTTGGGGCGGGGACAATATGCAGGTCTTGGACATATGCATCTGAACAAGCAACCGTCCGCAGGAAATGATGTAGTCAGCACAAGGACTGCCCCACCCGCAAGTCCGCACCGGCACCACCCAATGACACCCCCACAAACAGCGGCCTGTTCGTTAGCAAGGCCAGACTACAATTTAGCAAGGCCGGTCCATGATAAGATAACATCATGCAAAGCCAAGACCACCAAGACCCGACTTACTTATCCTTTTCTGTGCGATGTCTACCGCTGCTCAAATCAAACAGCAACTTAGCTACTTATACATCTTATACAGCACAAACAGTTCCATCATCTTAGAAATCTTACATGTTTCAGCTCTGAACTCAGTGAATTTCCCTTCCTAAACTGAGAAAACCATCGATTTCCCATGGATTTTCCATAGATTTTCCGGATCCACCTGGTTCCACAGCGCCGTGGCATAGGCGAAACTCAGCAGGGCTGAGCCTCGGCCCAACAGCACCAGGAAGCCCGTGAGGTTCCACCAGCTGCGGCAGAAGGAAGCGCTCAGCAATGGAAATCCTGAGACAACGCAGGGTATGGAAAAACATGGAAAACATCGGAAAAAAATAGGACAAATTGGGAAACACATAGAAAAAAACATGGGACAAAATAGGAAAACTTGGAAAAACAGTGGAAAAAACATGGGGAAAAAATAGGAACAGGAAAAACATGGGAATAACATATTGGGAAAAAAAGAAAACTTGGAAAAACATGGGAAAACAATGAGTTATAATGATTGGCAAACTGATGGATTTTGACAAACAAAATCCCGAAAATGTGTGAACACCATTCCGCAAAGGTTCGTTGGTGATGGATTTTTCTTGGTCATGTTGAAATGTTGTGGCTTCAAAGCCTTCCCTATCTTGGCCAAGGACTGGGCCAGGTCTTTACAATATATTGGCACAAGAATGTTTGAAAATAATGCTTTACCCCATAGTTTTTGAGAGTGGTACCCTGTACCTTTCTGTATTTTTTTGAGGGTTTACCATGGTTTACCTTTTTTTGGTGATATTTATATATATAGAGGGTTTAGATTGGCATGATGATGGTTTGGTGTCATGTCTTTTCTTCTTTTCAAAGCTTGGAGTTACATTGGCTAAAAGAGGGGATCACAGCGCAACACAACGTCTCCATGCCAAAAAAAACATGGTGGGAATTCACCAAAACCAATGCAGTCCTGTCCGATCTGAAAATTGATGCCATGAAACAGTTACCCGTCTCCATACCTACATGGCTGATCTTGGTACCTTCGGTACCATTCCTTTTCCCTTCGAATGACTACAACATCAGCCATGAAAACCTATCCGATTATCCTTCGCCAGCAAGGATTTAATATGTTCATGATGCACATCTTTTTTACCATTGCTTATATCAATCCCTATTTTTGCGGTACAATACGTGGCTTGACCCATGAGGCAGAAAAACCGAGGGGCGAGAAGAGACTTCTTCCAATTCCTTGTGAAAAGTGACCACCAAATCGCGAAGGTTGGTGAAACCTGGTGATGCGACGTCGTTCGCAAGGCGCAGGACTACACGACACGTGGGGTTGGATGTGACCGGCGACTAAGAAACATCAAATAAAATGACATTCGATGATAATATATCTGTATATATAATTTGGGCACAATATGATATGGGATATATGTATGATAAACATGAAACTATCCCATATCATCTGAATATATTTGGGCACAAATACAGAGTTGCAAGCGATTCAAACTTCTTTTTGTCGGAATCTTAAGTTTCACTTGTTCTGGATTTTCCACATGTTCCTGGCTGAGCTTTTTGTTTGCAGTGCAGCTGCTGTGTGGTAACTTCTGATGTTAAGCTGGAAAGTCCCCTAAATCGATGTCCCGCTGTTTTAGCTGAAGCAACAGACCGGAAGCTCAAAGAAGGCGCCGAAACAGCACAGGACCTTTCGGATTTGGCGCTGGGTCTGGAGAATGACATGCAAATACTTGGAGAATGACATGCGGAGCCCTGCCATGGATCGTAACTGGTTACAAAGCCCTGCCCTAATCAGAGTGATTTTACCTTGTGATAACTTGGGGTGTGTTTCCTATCTGACCGGTAACTGGAAGGTGACAGCTTGTGAGTAAATCACCTAAGTGGCTTATCCCATACCCTCCAAGTACCCATCCTCAATTCCTTTTCCCTGTTCGCGGATGGTTGTGCATACTATGTTGTGTAAATTGTGATGGTACCAATTATGTTGTAACATGCATCTTACCCAGAAAATGTGACGTTGACAATATGTTATAAGTTGTGATGTTGCCACAAAATGGAACTCCAAAACTTTCCGTGGGGCTGTTTATGTATAAGGGAAACTGCCAAAGATTTAGCCCGCCAACCTGCCACAGGTAAGTTCGGAACAGGTACCTTTAAATTGGAGGTATCATGTGTAAGATTGTGTAAGACCTATTATGTAAGGCTTAGAATATTTTGGGGAATATCCTCCCAAAATATGGCCCAACATATGGCACACTAGCTCCAGATAGCTGGCACCTGAGAATACCTGGCAACGGACATGGCGGACCCTATCGTCGGCGGTGCATTTGAAGCATCGTAGCAGGTCATGAGGAGAAACCGTAGTATCATACTCCAGCTATATCTGGAATATCCCCAGTTTTGACTCTGAAAATAGGGTGCCCCATTCCTTCCAAGTGTTCCAATCTCAAATATTAGCAATGTTTGGATGTAGCAATTTCAAACGCACCGACAAATGGCTGGGCTCTTAAGATGGGAGATCCCCCCACCAGGATTCAATACTAAAATGCTCTAATTCTTCGATGATTTGGAGAAATTCATTGGATTGGTTTAGGGGAAATCTACAGAAAACCATGGTTTTTACCATTAAATGTGGGGGTATCCTGTAACTTTTCCCTTAAACCAATCCAATGAAGGTACCAGCATTTTAGGAAACCTATGGCTCTTCCACGGTGTGGTCAACTCGTCCAAGGCACAGCTAGCTCTTCGAAGAGCAGGAAAGATCCGAAAACCGTGGCAGCTAAGAAGTGGTGCGCCTGGAGATGGGAAAAACATCTGCGAAGAGTACCCCTTTTGAAGATCAAAATGGTTGTCAATCCCTCTAAAAATGAAATTTACAGGCATAGATCCATTGTCATGGTTGATTCTCAGACAAGGTACCCTCCAATAAACTCATATAGCTGTGGAAAATAACGCATTTAGTTCGATTTACCTATTAAAAATCGTGATTTACAGTAATAGCTATGTTAGTTTATTGGAGGGTACTACACAATCTCTTGGTTGCGGGGCGTGCCGTGTAGATCCAGCACAGGGCAGAGGCAGACTGCACAATCTGATGTTCTTGAACCGACATCTGCTCCTGAAAGGATCTGGCAGGAGCACTACAAAACTATGAAAAGCATGCAATTCGCGACCGCAGCTCACATCCGGATGTCAACGGACTTCCAAGCAGGAGCAATACATGTATATATATATATATACATATATATATATATACACATATACCATGTGTGTACATATCTAATTATGTACATAAATAAATAAATATATATATATAATGTACACATATAATATACAGTATATTGTGCCGGCCTGAATTTCTAGAGGCCACCCCCCATCTATTGTGCCGGCCTGAATTTCTAGAGGCCACCCCCCATCGTACTTTCCAGGAACGGTCATGGCTTGGTTTTCAATGCTTCACTGCGAGAGGCCCATTCCAACTTATGGGGCTTTACAACCAGGCCTCAACTAGCCACATGTAACCTCTGGTTATGACTAACAGTTCGCCATGGTATAGATGGCCCTAATCGAAATAGATGGTTTACCGTTCTTAAAAATGGGTGGATTTTCCATGGCGAACTGTTAGTCATAACTAGATGGTAACCTCAACTGCACCGTTGGTAGCTTACCTATTTCGAGCCGCAGCCTCAGCAGCTATGTTTGGGGCCTTTGATCCTGTGACCCATTCACTGTCAATGAACCAGTGCCCAATTCTCCTGGCAGTGCACAGCTAGGTATCTCCATGCCAACCAATCCTGCGGGCTGTTGCGGGCCGCAACATCTCCTTTTCGGGAGGACCTTGGTGTTTCATCCAACTTGGTGGATTATATTGGATTAGAACTATAAGTTAGTAGCCCCAAATATACAATTACTATCAATTACTCATACAAGTAGTGGGTTTCCCCTACCTGTCTCACTTTCAACCACAGATATAACCTACTTTGAATTAGGTAAGGCAGGGTTACAATTTTGGAGATCAAAGATTTTGGAATGGAACCAACAAATTACAGAAACTGCGACCGCACTGGAGCACTCAAAAAACCCACTTTTTAGAAAGATCACTTCCTGGGAAAACCATGATTTCTTCCACATCAATGTTAGTTTACCCAGGGTAATTCGTGCTTTTTTTTGGTGATCTGTTGCCATCTTGCTCGGTTTCATCTCCATGTTTGGATAATCTGGTACCACTACCGTTGATGAAAACATCGCAGGGCAATATATGACCTTGATTCAAATTAAACACCCTTGAACCAGTTTGAAATAGTATTTCAGTCCACATGTTTGGTTGTTGGGTCATTCAATCATATCAAGACTTGTCAAATCAGCAAAGCTGATAATCGTTGGTCGCTTAAATTCATCAAATTATTTTTGGGGGGGGGTATCCAATCCCCATCACTTGGTTCATCAACTCATCAACATTCATTCAACATTTTGCAAGACCAAAGCCAGTCAAAATCCATGAACATCCATCAAGATTATCCATCAATCAAAAACTCCCCATGATTTGGCTCATGAACTCCCAATGTTTTCGTCTTGCGATCCTCTACGATCGCAAAAAGCCAATGCGTCATAGCAGCTGCCGCAAGACACGTCATGGCCGAAAGCTGTGAGTCGTCAGCACCTGTGGGACAGCAAAACCCGCACGAGGCGGGTGGCGGAAGTTTCCACCAAAGGAATGGTGTACTATAGGAGTGAAGGACAAGTTTTGCCTACAGGCAACAAGTAAGAATCCGTAAGAAACGTTAACAATCGGCTTTGTCAAACATGTGGGGAGACGGGAACGTGAATTTTGGGGTACCCTATCTTCGGACAAACTATATACTTTTACTCAACATTGGACTCAACATTGGGCAAAATCCTGCCATTTTTCTGGCGGGAAAATCAGAAAAGATGTTGAACTGCCAGTCTCCAAATCATATTTTCTTTTCGATTTGCAAAATGCAGCTATTTGAGGTGGTGTTTGATGAAGACATATGAAGACTCATAGTTTCCTTCCTGAACCTACCTCGTCATCTCAACGATGTTCATGCATCACATTATCCCATATTATCCCTCTAAGGAAAATGACAAACAAGTGCCTGGCTGCATCAAGGAAAAGGTATCACGCAGAAGTGCTTCCTTTTGTCATCCAACAGTTTGATACCCTGATGAAAACAACCCAAATTATTACTGGTTGGTGATTTCAACCCGTCTGAAAAATATTAGTCAGTTGGGATGATTATTCCCAATATATGGAACAATAAAAAATGTTCCAAACCACCAACCAGATTACATTCAAGGACATATTCTTATCCCCACTAAGAAATCATGTCCAGCAATGAATTCCTTTTTGCAGCCCCTTCTTGACAGTCTGCAACACACATTCAGCTCCACAACAAGTGATCCATGCTGGCTGACGCCTAGTTTTTTCTATCTTACCTTCCATGATTGGGAGTTCTTACCCCAATGAGAACTGGGAAGCCACCATGCGCTATTGTCATACAATTCATCCGTCGCGCTGATTTCTGCCTTTTGGGATGAACATCCCAGTTCTGGCTGGTGGTGAAAAAATCCCTGATCAGCAGCCCTAGACTAGGATGATCATGGATTTCTTCAATTCAACAACTCATGAAACCAACATAATCCAAATCCATCCATATATCTACAGTATATATACATGGTATTAATTATGTATACACATATATATATACATATATATATATATTCACCACGTTCTTTCATGATTCTTCCTCATAGCCTCCCTATTTTTCATGTTTCCAATGCTATCTGCCTTGCCTTCCACCATCTCTCGCATGACGCCAGGGCGGCGCTGCAAAAAAACGAAGCATCGCCAGGGAAAGGAGCCGCAAAGCAGTAGGATGGTGCCCATGGTGGCAGCCAGCATGTAGTAGACCTGCCATGGTTTGATTTAGACAAATCCCCAAAAAACTCAGATAGTAACTATAATTCATAATTATATTCTTTGTAATGCCAGTTGGATTTAATTTGAAATTTAGACTAACTGTAAGATATTATTGCCTTTAGACCTGCATGCTTTGAAGAAAAAAAATGATGATCAGAGTCATGCAGGTCTACAAGCCATAATATCAGGTTGACCATATCCTGATAATCGTTTTATTAACCATATCTTGCTATGAAAGTTAATATCTTATTTAAAACAAAAACTATAAGCAAAATATGAGGGATGTCATGATGTCATCACCTCATGATTTTCCAATCTATACCATACATACATATGTAGATATACATAAATACATACACACTAAATATGTCTAAATAATTCTAAATATCCTCATTTATGAGGCCAAAAAATGGGAAGAGATCCAATAAATTCCAATAGTAGACCAAGGTTGAGTGCAGAAGAATTGGACGGAATTACTGCAAATTAGCTATGAATTTCAAGTAATGCATCAACTGCATCCAACCACACCGAGGTTGTCCCAGTTTCTTGGTGGAATAGCGCCAACCATTAGCGAAACAATGTGGAATCACTCCCCACACATCTGCCAGACCATAAAAATGGCCTGGGAACGCAAGAGTCTTCGTAGGAACCTGAAGCACATATCAGGCATCAGCAGGCCACAACACAGCGACAAGCTATGAGGTACGTGGCAATGTTCACTAAAATTACTTCCTGAGTGATCCCCACCAACTGACACTCCATCTGACATAAATTCGGACATGTATTCTGACATCCTCTCTGGAATTCTATCTGAATCTGGCATTCTATCTAACATTTCATCTGGCATTCTACATTCTATCTGGCATCCTTTCTGGCATTCTATCCGAAATATATTCTGACATTCGAGCTGGCATTCTATCTGACATTCTATCTGACATCCTTTCTGGCATTCTATCCGAAATATATTCTCACATTCTATCTGGCATTCTTTCCGACATTCTATTTAGCATCTATGCTGGCACTGTTTGTGAAATCTATTCCAATGTCCTATCTGACATTCTATCTGGCATGTGTTTAGGTCCGTGCCCAGAATGAGCTGGAGCTTTTGGAGTAAGCGGGTCCAATGTGACATACGGGTCCGGTGGCCACAGTGGCGACGAACTGGAACAAGGTGGGAGAAGGTGTGAGGGAGTGAGTGAAGTGAGTGGAGGAGTTGCACCTTTATCAAAATCTAGAGACCCTCATGGCAGGTGGGGAAAAATATTAAAAACATATGATTCAATATGATTCACCATGAAACTTTTTGGGTACCCGACTGTCAAACAAACCCATATACTTAGACCGAAATGGTGGCATAACTATGATCTCTTGCTGCCCAAATCTGGGAAAAGACAAGCCCAAGAAAGCTATATGAGTGAACCTGAATGATTGTTGGAAATGGTATAAAATTGCTTTTTAGCTGGCATGTTCAAAGTTGTGGACAGTTCGCCCGTTTTAGGTCTATTTTGATAGTAAGACCATGTGTGCTTGTGTCTCTTAAACCAACCCAGTGAATTCCGGCATCATCCCCATATGGCAAATCTGCAGAAATGGCATTTCCCATATGCATATGCTGACAATTAACCTACTGACCTAGCCAATTTTGATGTGCGTTTTTACTGAATATACACGTTTTTCAGCAGCATGTCACATGGTGAGATCGGCTATCCATCCAGCCGGTTTCCAACAATAAATATTCAATGAGTATCCATAAGTTCTATTGGTTCAACATTTGCTTGGTTTGTGGATTGGTCTAGCAATGATCCATAAAAAATCCAATCATATTCAATAGATAATCATCTATAATTAATCTAATGATATCTATTGGTCTACCAATGAATAAATCTTACAAGGTGGTGCCCCATAGTTGGTTAAGTTGCTGAACATAACTCCAATAACTATGGTTTATGGTAGGTATATCTATACTTCCTATGGTTTACAAACCAACTTATAACTGGGGGGAGCACAACCTTGTAGTCTCCCCGTTACATCCAGGTTTTTCCCTCCGTAGCCGTAGATCCTGCGTCGTTGTTGGCATCCCCGCAGCTGCCAGGGCCGTCGCCACGCGATGCACGACGCAGTGAGGAGGAGCGGCACCGTGGCAGCGTGGAGCAACGGCCACAGGACGGACCTCTGAACCGACTGACTAGTTAAGCAAAATGGAAGGGGAATCCCATGGCATTGTGTATATATGTAATATTATAACTTATTATATTCATATATATATATATATTATCATAATAGAATACAATATGATATAATATAATAACATATAATATAGTATAGTAATATATAGTATAGTAATATATTATATAGTATAACATACTATATAAATAGCATAACCTTCCAGTTACCTCTGAGACAGGTACTCAGGGTGATTTTACGTAACATGATTTTGAGATTGGTGTCCTATCTGACAGGGAACTGGAAGGTGAGGGTGCACGTATGTACGTATTCATATGTCATATTATATATACGGATACGTGTATATATGTATATATACATTGGTCCGTCTGCAAAAAGGATACCCCTAAATCCACCGCTCCATGATAATTTTCTGTATTCAGATTGCAAGTTGGAGGTATACCCCATATTACCCAATTTTCATACATACATGTTGATTAATATACACTGTTCACATATGGATGTGGTTCATACATGGATAGCAGATAGCAAGTCCGCGGGTGGTTATGAACCAAGATGCAAGGGAACCGTACAGGAAGGGGCCCCCGAACAATACGTAAGTTCTTTTATAACTCGGCTAACGATTGCATTCATGGTGGATATAGTCAAACCAACTTATAAATGAGGAGTCTCTCCCACTGCATGGCTTACAGTAGTATACTAGTAGTATATAAACGTATTCAATCGGTGTCAACAAACCCAATGTCCTATATGCTATCCTTAACAGTCAAATAGAAGAAGAATTACCAACTTAGTGGCCCTTTGGTGCCTATGCCGATTCAGAAGCAGACTTAGAAGCGCAGAGGATACGAATCTACCTGGGTAAATTATAATATTTCACTAACCTGAATCTTGCGACCATTTGGGGATGATTTCCCTTATAAGCCATGATTCCAGGGTTTGGGAGAACAGTGAGGTCGTTATAATTTACCCAGTATGATCCAATCTCGCTTGATCAGTCCTATGCGTTGGGTCATATTCTGCGTGCCCAGCAGCCAAAATACGATGCATCCAATCTTCCAAGCGATCGACATTGGCAACAAACAGAAACGCGCAGCAAAGACGGCATGGCCATTGTTGTCATCAAGTGTTTTTCGGAAACAAAGCCTTAAAGAAAATCTGGGTAAATTAGTTCATAATATTTCATATCAGGATAATCTATTCATATATGTGTATTTAATCTATTTCAGGCAAAATATGACGATCTGGGTATATTACATAAGAATGTGTGAAAAGAATTGTCATCAAATCTCACTGGGTGTTTCTCTGCTGGCTTGGCGCTGTTCCGGCAGGTGGCCTGGATGCCTTGTGATTGGTGGCTTGGAGGGTTTAAGCAATCCCAAAGGTCTGAGTCGAAGCAATCATCCCCAAAAAGTATGATTTTTATAAGCATCATAATCCAAGAACTGGTATGTTTTACCCTCCAGTAAATTAACATAGACCCTGGCAGATAGGGGTTGGAAGACTAGTTTCCATTAAAAATGGGTGATTTTCAGGGTCTATGTTTATTTACCAGAGGGTATGTTTTATGTTTTCATAGTTTTTCAGCACAATAAGTATTTGAACCCCCCAAGCAGTGACTGGTTTTCCATCCCAAATTGGATCTTCCAGGTCCTTTTTTGTGAAGGCCCTGGCATTTTTTTGTCCCTGCCTGCGGTCCAACAAAGGCCAATGGACACAGGACCTTGGCAAAATCAATCATGGGCTATGGGATAACGGGATATATATACAGTACATATGTATTTATATATATATGGATAGATATATTACTGTATTGACTATTTATGGAATATTTATGATAAATGGATAGACTATTATATGGGATATCAATTATTAGATACTTGATATTACTTGATGTGTATATATATATTATTAATTATAATATATGATTTTATATGATACTGTATATAGATAGAATATAGGATATTCATTGACTATTCCTGGGATAGTAGATAGATATATGATATGTGGGACATTGGAGGTATAAAACATAGAGTCAAAACCTTTGATACTATCCGCGGGGATGAACCTATCAATAATTTCCTCCCCTGATAGGTGTAAAATGATAGTGATATATAATGATAGTATCTTCCCAATAATGACAAACAGCTTCCCATAAACCCTGGTTTTTCGTGGTGGATCCGTTCTTTTCTGGGTCTCATTTTGAAGAAACAAAATACCAAGTGCTTAAGTTGGAGCTACAAACCTCTGAAAGGATGGTAAGGCCTGTATAGACATAGACCAAGACAAAAAGACTCTGTATTTGGGTACTCCAATAGGCCAAATTGAACCATCCATGAACCGAACCGAAGGAGATGTATATCAAGAGCAAGGGCGGGGAAAAATACTAAGCATTTGTTTAATTACTGTAAATTGCTCATAAGCCTGCAGAATCCTGCAGATTTATTCTCCAAACCAAGGATAGATGGAGATACAGCCAGCAAACATCAGGAGATCCAGAAATGAAAATTGCTAAAAAGGATCGATATGGCTTGATGTAACTGCATCATCAGCTAACTGATATTTAGAAAATGGGATCATAGCCGTGACTACATGGATATATATATATATATATACATAATATGTGCATGGTACACTTATGATATCATAAAAATCAATAAACACATACCCTCTGGTAATTTAACAGTGCGCTATTGAACATGGCCCTAATCGAAATAGTTGATTTACCCAGCTATAAAATGGTGATTTTCCATAGTTTTTTGTCATCGCCTTCTGGGTTGCCCGGCCATGGCCACCGCCAGAATCAACCTCGCTTTTTGGTACGGGGTACCCCAAAAATGAATGGTTTATTTCCTGGAAGATCCGAAAATAACGTGGATGATAACTGGGAGTAGCATGATTTAGGAAACCGGAACACTATACTTGAACACTTGTGAAACCAACAGGAAATGGATGGTGTGTTATACTTGCAGTATACTCTAGTTCCAGAAATGGATAATTAATGATAATTAGTGGTAATGGAATGCATTGTACAAACAATAGGACAGACACTTGAAAAGCATAAAACAAAAAAATCAACAACACATTGTGACGTGCATACCGCTGCATACCCCTAAATCTGTGACAGTTTACTACCCCAAATTCCTCCATATTGCCACTTCAAGCTCAGTAAGGGGCGTTGCCACCTCTTGGATCATCGGCGCAAAGCACCAGATGTTGTACCCTAGCGCCCTATCCATCCCCAGTCGTGTTCTCTTATGCAATCTACCCTCTGGTAAACTAACGTAACTATGGAAAATCATAATTTTTCATGGGTAAATCCACTATAAATGGCCATTTTCAATAGCTATGTTAGTTTACCAGAGGGTATAGGTAGTCATGGATACATCCCTTCAGCCAAGCGTCATCCTTCCAGCCATGATGTCCGAAGAAAATCTACCTCTGCCTGCGCTCGGGGAGAGTTCGGAACCAGGGGCCTTTGTTAGAGATCACGCGCAAGTCCAAATCAACCCCAAACATCCCAAACAATATCTGCCGCAATTCCCCTGGGTTTGAAGTTTGAAGGGTCATCCCCAATCTTCACTGAAAACCTATTTACCCTTTTGAATTGGAAACAAAAGCGCCAAGTGATGGAAGGCGTAAAGGGCGGCCTGCGTCGCTGACGAAACCAGAAAGCCGAAACAGCTGAGGTGCAGCATGCTGTTGCAGTTCTGGTTGCTGTCGGGCTCAGATAAAGGGAGAAACTCTCCATGTATCTATAAAATCTGGGTAAATCATATTAATTCACTAACCTGAATTAAGGCCATTTGGGGATAATTTCCCTTGCTAACCATGATTTCCAATGAGGTCGCAGTGAGGTTGTTATAATTTACCCAGATAAAATGAATGGATCTGTAAGAATCATTGAGATATTGTAATATCGATTAATATCGTGCATCTAGTCGTCATATTCAACCACTAGATTCACTAGATCTCCATAGTTTTCTCGTATCCCACTTGGTCTCAATTTTAACACCTTGGATATACCCTCTGGTTATTTAACATAGCCATGGAACATGGCCCATTTATAGATGGTTTACCTATGTTTACCTATTAAACATGGGGGATTTTCCATGGCTATGTTAGTCATAACCAGATGGTACCCAGGACTGAACCGGTCACGGAGCTTTTCAAGTTCTCGCCTCGAACTTCTGTACACAACCGGCGCGCCACGAATTCCACCGATGCCCGGCTTCCAGGAACTTTGTTCGGACCAACCAACCAACC